CCAAAGCTATCATTAAAAACATTTACTTTATGTTCATGTCTCTAACTCTTAAACCAAACACGTTTCTCTCTCTTTTGTTTATGTCCTTTCTCTATCTTGCAAATTCTCTACTCTAAGCCTTCAGTACTATTATAAGAGAAATATATAAATCCTCATCAAGATTTCGTCTAAACAAGTGGCCAATTATTTGGCATCCATTGTCACATGCTTGATGAACAAAAATAAAGTGGAGCAACTGTAAAGAAATATAATTTTGACATGCATTCCAAGACAGTTACCTAAATTAATTTGGCTGCATCCGATACCACATTAAGAAAACTCAAAGACTATTGCCCTGTTCCGAACCATTCACCCTTATGATATATACCTGGCAAAAAGATAGGAACTGTGTATCAAGTATCAATGGAACTCAAGTTGCAAGGTAAAAATGAAAAATGAGAATAAGCAAACTGATTTGCAATTTTTGAGGTGGAGTCAATAACATTGATGCATATTAACAACCACCTTGCATGTTGTAGGCTTGATTAACTGAAAAACCACAGCATCTCCATCTAGCAGTCCATGAGCAACGGCAAACCCTTTCCATCCACCACCTAGTACATTCTCTCGTGCTAAATATGTAACTCGATACTCAACTGCATCTTCATCTATCAAAGTGATGAAATCGCCTCGCCTTGGAAAGTTCCTTCTGCAGAAGTCGACTGGAAGACCACCCTGTACCAAAATTTCCCTCATGATCTATATCATTGCCATCCACAGTTAAATAAACTTATATGATGTTTTGCACGCCAAAATGCAGTGGAATTAGAACGAAGTACAGTACATCTGAAGCCAGGTTTTACACAGAAAGCAAGTTTTTTTAAAGCTAACAGATAATTAGATACATATTAGTGGCTAAAAAAATTAACATAAAACAAGTGGGAAAAGAAGGACATGTGTGCACACGCACAGAGTGAATTAGTCCATCCATGGACGTGGCTTGCAAACTTGAGAAGCTTTTTAGATTGTCTGTCTACAGTTATCTTACAGAAAATCATGTGGCTCGTGCATTTAGTTTTAATGTTACTTTCCCTTGACTGGACATGAGAAATTGTAGGATTAAAAAACAGTGCGAATCTAAAAAATTGACAACACAGTCCATCCATATAGAAAGGAAAAGAGATTGAAACATAGGTTGGGAGATGATAGATTTATCTCACCAGCCGAAATCCACCAGTAACATGGGATTGAAACATTGATTTTATAAAGGTCGGATAGTCAGATCCTAAATCAGATTGTAACTTTTCTGCTTTCTCGATAGCCTTTGCCCTGGCTTCATCAGTAGCAAACACCAGGTTTGAAAAATCTGTTACCTTGGAAATCCTGAGCAACATCAGTATCACACTAAAATATTAGCTTTATATGTTTCAACGCAGAGAGCTATAATTGGTTTAAGAAATTTGAATCAAAATACCTTCTTGGTTTCACCACTCGATCGAGAACAGCCTGTGAGAAAAAAAAAACCCATTATACACAACATCTAGCAAAAATAAACAAAATCCCAAAATTTCATAAGCCCAAATGAAATTAACGACTTACTTCTTCAAAGAAAGGAGCAGGCTTGTTCGCGACACGATTGGACCTCCTAACCACAACCACTTGTTTCTCGACTACTCGAGGTTTTGAGCGTTTCATCTGTTAATCAGACAAAAATAGAATGAGCATCATCACACATATAAAGGGAGAGGGAGTTATAGAGTAGAGTAATTAACAACCGGAGAGGATTTGGTACGGTTGGGAATTTTAAGAGCTTGACAAAGCTTGGGGAGATTGAGGGCTTCCATTCTTTTCTTGTTCTCTTCCATTCTCTTTCGGCGACTTTCTTCATATGCTGATATATTTGCTACCATTTTTACTGCAGAATCAAAAGGTTTCGATTGCTAGGATTTTAGCCCTCCCTTCTTGAAGTCTGGGGAGCAGTGTGTGTGAGAGGGAGGGAGAGAGGAAAAAGAGAAATTTGAAATTGGGGGACTCCTGTACTGTGTCAATTAGGGCAAGAGAAGTCGACCGTTGAGTTCCCACCCATTATGAGTAATGATAGTGTCAGTGCCGGGGAGCCTGCTAGTTTACAGGTAGAATCCAGTTTCTGGACTTGAAAAACCGTGCTGCCACAAACTCTTTGGGCACCCTTGCAAGCAGTTTATCTTGCAATTTTGCTTCGGTATTTATGCGAATAATTACAAGCAGAGATAAAGTGCTTGCTTTAGTACATTGTAACAAAAGGTAAAATAATTGTGCAAATTCCACGGTGAAATTATAATTTTGTTCTTTAGTGGCAAAATTAGTTGGTTCTGTTTTAGGGCATGATGGTCTTTTTTTATCAAACCCATTAATTATTAAAAAAAACATAATTACAGAATATTTTTATATTTTTATTATACCGTGTAATTATATTATTATTGTTGACAAAAAAAAAACATTAAGCTTTGGCTTAAGAGATTTTTAGTTTTTAAATAATTAAATTACATCATCGCTCTTGAAATGTAAAATAAAGACCTTTAATGAAGGTGTTCCTTTGTCTTTTATATTTAGTTATTTAATAGTTATTTTTTTATATTTATTTATTTGATAGTTATTGAATATTATTTGAGACAATAAAATAATTTTATAAATAAATAAAAAGTTTAAAAGTAAGTTAACAATATCTAGTGAATTCAAACAACATATGCGATGTTATTTAGTAGCCAAAACCTTACTTATAAGGTGGCGACCGAATTGTCTCAACATTCTCTTCATGGACAAGCGGTGTGCGTGGCATAATTGCTTTTCGACCGAATTGTCTCAACATTCCCTTCATGGACAAGCGGTGTGCGTTGCATAATTGCTTCTAGAGTAACGCATGTAACCTTTTAATTTTCTTTTTTTCCCCCTTTCTCTTACTTGATTTTTAAACTAGCTTTAACAAAATTCAAATCAGCCTTTAAGATTTTTTGTCCTAAAGATTTCTTTCTTATTTCTTTATTGTAGTTTTTTTATTTAGAATAATTTTTAAAATTAAGTATTATTTCAATTTTATCTCTATTCTCTTTATTATAATTTTGTTAATTTAGAATAATTTATGAGTTCAAGGATTTTTAAAATTTCATCCCTAGTATATATTTTATCTATTAGATTTGATTTATATTTTTTTGATTATATTTATTTTATTTTAGATGCATTTTTGTTTTTGCTTTTTCATCATTTTTGAGTTTTTTCTTATCAAATCTAATATCTTTATTTATTTTATTTTAGATGCATTTTTGTGTTTGTTTTTTCATCATTTTTGAGTTTTTTCTTATTAAATCTAATACCTTTTTTATTATTATATTTTTTTACCTTGCAATGTTTTTTTAGATTGATTTTTTATTTTATTTTATTCTCCAACATTTAATTATTCAGTTATTTATCTTCTTAGTCAAATCTGAATCTAGAATTTAATGAATTGCAAGTTTAAAAGATTAGCTCCGATTTATAAAATTGACATAGGTTTTCTTGTTTTTTCACCCTTTTTTTTTCACATCATCCAACTTTTTTTATTTTTTTACTTCATTTTCCACATGGTTGCTTTATCATTTTGAAAATAGTACAGGTTGCTTCATGTTTTTTTTAGTCTTTATTAAATTTAGTTTCTCTAAAAAAATTTTGTTTTTGAGTTAGATTAAATTAGTTGATTTTATTTTTAAACATTTAATTTTTCATATGTTAAGCTTATAGGTTAAACTTGAGTTGAGAATTTAACCCAACTTTATAAAGTTACTCAGACTTGCTTGAGTCTTTTTTTCTTTTTAAACTTTTTTTTTTTTGCAATTTCATTCTCCATTATTTTTTTTATTCTCTTTATATGGTATTTATCTTTCCTTTTGAAATAAAAAAGATTTTCTCAAGTATTTTTTAGGTCTTTGTTGAATTTTTAAAATGAATTTTTAAATTAAATTAAATTTATTAATTTTATCCCTCAATATTTAATCTAACAGTTATTGAGATTTTTAGTTTAGCTCGGATTAAATTAAATTTATTAATTTTATCCTTCAACATTTAATCTAATAGTTATTGAGATTTTTAGTTTAGCTCGGGTCTATAATTTAATGAGTTTCAAATTTAAAAAATTAATTTGAATTTAAAAAATTTATTTAGGCTTGTTTGATTTTATTTTATTTTAGTTTTATCCACCAGTATTTTGTTATTTTTATTTATTTGCTTTCTATAAAAAAAATTTATGGTTTTGAAAATAATAAAAATCGACTCGGATGGTTTTCTTGATCTTTGTTAAATCTAGCTTTTTTTTAAAATGATTTTTTAATTAATTGCATTACAGTATGCATGAAATTCTTGGTTCATACTTTTTTTTTATTTTTGTTTGCTTTTGGAGTCATTCTTCTACCCACATGTGCAACCTTTTTAAATATAAAAATCTTAAAATTTCCCCCTTTTTTTAAATATTAATATCACATGAATATCTTTTTTATACTATTAATAAATTAACTCAGCCCACAGCATTCAGCGTGACATTTGTCTAGTTTTAGCGCACTCGGTTTCCTTCACATCCTTGAGCACATGCACGATTAATCTCCCCTTCAAATGAATAACCAGCTGGACTAGGCAGATTAGCGTCACGACGGCTCATATGGCTTCTGCTTCTCCATTGACTTCACAAGAAGGAAGAGGAAAAGGATGAAGGGTGGTGATAGATTTATTATACTATTGGTATTGTGATTGTTACTGTGCTTATAATTTGAGAATGTAGATTTTATGATTATAAATTATAGTTTTTTTTTTATAATTAATATTAAATTTATGGTGTGCATTAATTATTCAAACATTTTTAAAATTATAGTTAGGCAAAATATAGTTTAACTGCAACAAATCCTTAAACTTCTCAATTATAATTATGCTTAGAAGAAGTGTTTTAGTAATGAACCTGCGAGTGTGATATAACTACTCTATTATAAGATATGGAAACAGCTTAAGGCAGCAAACCCTAGTTCATCAGAAGGCATTCATTACTCAGTATGTTATAGCCCTAAGCTCTTTAACCGGAGTAGCAACTCAGCTTGTTATTATTATTTTCTTTTTCGGTAGTTTGCAAGGGGGGAACTCCACCACAGAAAGATACTAGGAACGTTAGCTTCGGGAATTAGTGGATTTACATTTCACAAAATCTACTTGTTTCCACAGGAGACTCCAAAGTAAGTGTTGCAAATAAATTTACTGTACACTTCGTCTGGAGACAAGGAGGTTTACAGATAATACACCTCAAAGCTCAAACCCCCTGGCTCCCACGTTTATTCTTTTAGGATGAAGAAAGCATTGCCTCTTTGGAAACCTCAGAGCCAAGGCTTCACACCTAATTTGAATCTTGCACATTCACACCAGCAATCTCGCCTCTAGGTTGTCAGTGAGAGCTGTTACAGCCTTGAACGGCGTATGCATTTCATTGGATTAAATGGAGCATACCTTCGGGTGGGATTAAATGGGTGTCTGCTCAAGGAAGCTGATGACCTTAAATCCCAACCTTCAACATTCTTGGGAATGCAGACATCGAAAAGGATTTGACCAAGAACTCCATCCGGGTTGATAGTCGGAGGGGTTCGCAAATGAACCAAATTCTCCTTGTGCTCATCTTGCAAGGACCCAACATCTCTACCCTCATAGTACTCTACTGAGCTTGGCATAAAGAAATGATCACTTGGTGCAATACTAACTCCCCGAAAACTATGGTGTGGATTGACAGCTGCTTTCCTCAGGTCACTGATTGGCTCAGATATCTCATCATGTGTCCCCTCGAAGCCCATCCTTTCTCCTTCAAGTCGTTGAATTCTTTGGGAATAAATTGCAGCTGCCTTACCAAGGAGCTCAGTCACAGCAGTGTTGTAGTCAACAGGATAAGATCGATAATGTCCTACAGTAATTCATATGGAGAGAATTGGAATATGCTAGTGCAACAGAGAAGAGAAGCAAAGCAGCAATCTAAGAACTCTTAAAAGGCTGGTGATCGAGATTTCAAACCTCAAGTATCAAGATGGTAAATAAAGATTGGCAATCAAACTAACACGGCAAGTTTTAACATAGTAAACTTTTACTTGGTAGCCACATTCAATTAACTAAATTATGCAATTCTGTAAAAAGACAGCACTTGCTCCAATAACAGAATATACATTAATTTTATGTTGATTGTGTAGCATATAAAATTAGACAAAGGAATCAGTTAGTCACAACAATGACTTTAATGAGAATCGAAGGGGTTTTCAAAACTTTTACCACAGGTGAAAAGATACAAGTGGCATAACCCAGAGCATCAAGCTACGGAGACTCCCTCCACCCACATATACACAGGACCCACCATGACAATTATTCATGGATCCAACCTTTATGTGAGAGAGAAGAGTACAAATCCCAGTGTACTAAATAATTCCTCCTCCGGGGCAACAAATGCTTGAGACCAAACTATGCATCCTAATGCATGGGTGCCTAAAACAAGAGAAAACAATTGACACAACCCCCTTTGGTTTTAATATGTGAGTGCTATCCAGAGAAAACCACCATAATAGTTTCAGCAGTAGCATGGCATGTAATATGGTCCTGGTTGAACATAATAATCGTAGTTAGAAACAGACCTACATGCGGAGAGTCATTCATTTTCACAAGCTTTACGTCACCACCAAGTTCTTTTAGTCTTTGAGCGAAATTGCAAATGACTTGATAAGGAGCAAGATCGTCATTCTCTGAGCACAAAATTAGATATGGACCCCCCATGCTCTGCGATGAAATGATGCTCAATTTAAATAGAGAGAAAACAGCAGCAGCGCAGCATATTTATAGAAACATGCTATTATGTACTTACAACAGAGGAGTAGAGAGTCTGCCAATACTCAGCACGCTGTGATTCAAATCTGCTGAGGAAGAGAGCATCAAGACTGCTACTAATTCCATTTGCCATCCAAGACAGCATTCTTGGTGGATGAGACATTTTGAGAACAGTTGGGTGAACAACAAATCGTCTCCCCAGATCACTCGTAAAATCCACTGGACTAGAATCATAGATATGGCCTGAGATACAATCTCTGACCAGTTTATGGTCATCCTATTGATGGAGAAAAGTTAAAAACGAACAAAAACAAGACAGAAATAGAAATGAGCGTGATGTGCATAAATAATTAGTGAAACATGTAGATTTGACCACATATACAAAGAGGAAATCAAATTCGTACAGAAAAATGGCATACCGGATTCAGTTGTACTTCACACTTTCCCTCAATGATCTGCAGTGGAAAACAAAACGAATTCACTCATCCACACAAACTGCCTGGGTTGCTTCTTACTCAAACAGAGGCGAGATTATCCATCATTGACAGTTACCCAAAGGCATATGAGGTACTTTACCTGGAGAACCTTGTACATGCAAGCTTTGGGACCACCAGAAAAGGATGCAAGGACTATAGGGCATGGCCTTCTCTTTAGCTCCTACATATAAAAAAAATGAAGCAAGCAAATTACAAGACAATTAAACTCAAGACTTTGAGCTAGAGTAGTACAAAAGTTGTGGTTTCGTCCACAGGAAGAGTGCCATATTTTCAATCCATGATCAAATGCTTTGGCAAGCAAAAGGATACGTGTAGTACAAAGGCAACACAAGATCTCATTCAAAATTCTGCGAGGCAGGTGAAGTGGCACCAGATCATAGCCATATAAAATCTAACAGGTATATTAAATAAATGCACCAGAGAAAGATTTTAAGTAGAATAACACTGACCTCAAGAAGTCCGTTGAGCATGTCAAATGCTAAAGTTTCAGCCCTCTCCGGAAAGAACCTGTGCAGGAGTAACATGCAGAAATCAACCCACTGATAAAACACAATCAATCACCAATGTCACAGTCATGAAACTAGCAAGTAAATGCGAGAAATGCACATAATTCCCATTTACAGTAAGTGTAGTTATCACGTGAAGTAATCAGCACAAGATATGGAAACTGTTTCAGGAAAAAACTGAAAATCTAGCCTAGTCACCTAGGCCTGCACTTCTAAATTATGCCTATCATCTATTCATGTTAAGTGCACAGTGAATTCGATTCCTTTGAGAAAGAATCTATCCATTCCTAGTATACAAATCAAACAGGCTTAAATCTGCACCTGCTTCAACCACCAGATCCCATCTAATACTTTTAGATAAAGCTATCTTCCGTTATCAGAGACGTTATGACCCATAAAGGACAAAAAACTTGACTCACTTCATCTCCCACTCCACCTATCTAGCTAAGCTGTTTTCCATTTTTAACCTGATACTTCAACATACAACGCAGCAAAATTCATCAAAAACTACAATTAAGCATCATCCAAAAACACATAAGCACCAATCAAGAAAAAAATTCAACCCAAACCCTTGTTTCTGCATATCCAGCAACCAAACCCAAAACAACGGAATCTTGAAAACCCAGTCAAATCCAATCAATCCCAGAAACCAATTCATTAACCAAGACAAAAAATACAACCGATTCAAAGGGGGAAAAAAACTTACATATTGAAGAACTGGGAGTGACAGACAAGGGAATTCCAACCAAGAGACCCATAAAGGGCAACATAAGCTTTCACGTGTCTTTCTTGACTAGACATCCAAGGGAAAACCACCACTATCCCTTCTCTGTCC